AAAAAAAAAAAAAAAAAAAAAAAAAATTAGCCAGGTGTGGTAGTGTGCACCTGTAGTCCCAGTTACTCAGGAGGCTGAGGTGGAAGGATCATCTGAGTCTAGAAGGTCGAGGCTGTGGGTAGCGCTGATTGTGCTACTGTACTCCAGCCTGGACAATAGTAAGACTCTGACTCAAAACAAACAATCCCTCCCCCCCAAACAAAACCCCCCAAAATGGCTCATGTCTGCATCCCCTATTAGACCAGTTAAAGAAACATTTTATGGGAAGGGGCCTAGACATTCATATTTAAAAAAAAAATTCTCTCTCTCTCTCTCTTTTTTTTGAGTTGGAGTCTCACTCTGTTGCCCTGACTGGAGTGCAGTGGCACACTCACAGCCACTGCAACCTCAACCTGCTGGGCTCAGGTGACCCCTCTGCCTCAGCCTTCCAAGTAGCTGGAACTATAGGCACGCGCCACCACGCCTAGCTAATTTTTTGATTTATTGTAGAGATGAGATCTCACCAAGTTGCCCAGGCTGGTCTCAAACCCATGAGCTCAGGCAATCCACTCACCTTGGCCTCCCAAAGTGTGGGGATTATAGGCATGAGCCACCGTGCCCGGTCAAAAATATTCTCTTTTAACCCTGATTTTCTCAGGGTTGAAAATCACCGCTGGCCCAAATTTCTTGATACGAATTACACTAGACGGTTTCAGGAGCTTTCATGCAGGGTAACAGCAAATAGAAGAGTACACAGGACATAAAAGAGCTCATATCTCTGCTTTGGTATATTTGGTTGAGGGCATCGTCTGGCAATCAGGCCTTTAGCTCACATCACCTGGAACTGGCTCATCATTTTTTTAAAACCATTAAAACCCCCTAGAAGGCGAGGTGATGGGTTCCGGGAACGGATTGTTGAGACGGGTCATTCTCAATGCTGCGTTTTTAGGAAACACTCTTCTTAGAGCGCCTCCCTTGGGCCTGGTGGTTTGGCAGCTTGACATCCATCACTTAGCTACCTAGCCACCGGGGATCCTCCCCCGGCCTCAGAGCGCTGGAGACAGCTTTTTTGGCAAAGGCAGCGATGAAAACCAGCCTGACAAAGAGCTGCATCTTTGCACAGGCGATGACCCTCCCTGGTAGGCCCCACATGGGGGTGTTGGCTGCATCGCCCTTGAGGAGGAATCGCAGTCACAGTGTCTCAGAGTTGGAAGGACTCAGGAGACATGCTGGTCACTCCACTTGGTGAGGGAGACGGAGGCCCAGAGAGGTCACCCGAGAGGTGTCCAGGATCGGGTGAAGCAGCTGCCTGTGGTGCAGCCCTCAGACCCAGATCAGGGCTTTTCCCATCTGGTGTGGATCCTTCCACTTTCTTCATTCCTCTGCTTCCCTGGCTTTCTCTTTCTCATTTCCTTCCTTCCTAGTTTCCTCTGACTGTGTCTTCTCCCCCTACTTTTCCATTTTTTTTTTTTGTAGGAGTCTCACTCTGTTGCCCAGGCTGGAGTGCGGTGGCACGGTCATGACCGTTGCAGCCTCGACCTCCTGGGCTCAGGCGATCCTTCCGCCTCAGCCTTCCAAGTAGCTGGAACCACAGGCGAGGCGTGCACTACCTTGATTGGCCAATTACAAAAAAAAAAATTGATTGTAGAGACCAGGTCTTGCCAAGTTGCCCAGACTGGTCTTAAACCCCTGGGCTCAAGCAATCTTCTCGCCTCCGTCTCCCAAAGTGCTGGGATTACAGGCACGAGCCACCATGCCCGGCCTAATTTTGTCATCTTAAACCTTCTATCTTTAAGCCTTTGTTTTGCCTCGACCAAGGTGATCCGACCAGAAAAGATGGTTCTTCTTCTCAAACAATATGTTCCAGTGAATAAAAGGACTGGTAATGTTTGTGATCTGTAGTTCAAAAACATAACAAATTAGGTCAAAATTAGAAAAACAATAACAGGAAGATGTATAAGAAGGAAGTCAGAAATTTAACATGTCTGAACTCCTTCACAGAGACAGATGCTGACAGGTGGGGGTGGGGGAGTGAGGCCAGCGTTTCCCAAACTCTCCACAGATGGGAAGAGGTGATGTTGGACAGCTAGACCGTAGTGTGAAAACTCATTTGAAGGAAATTTCTGGTGGCATCTCAGCAGGAGAACATTTTTATCAACAGGATGGCTATTGCCTGCCTGGTTGGAATTTTTTATTTTCTGCATCGTTCTATTTGAAATCATGGGGATTTGACCAGAGGATATTTCCTTCCATGTGTATGACATTTTATATTTGGGATAATATGTACCTTCTACCCAAACATCGTAGGATGTAAAAATGTATTAAAGTGACATATATTTTTTCTCTCGGATATTACCACATCAATCCCTACAAAAGCAGAAAAAGGATAAAATGTAGATCTGAGTGTGTTTTTGTTGTGTCTTTTTTGTTTTCTGAGCCTTCTTGGAAGGAGCAGATTATTATGAAATTTTCTGGCAGGACAAAATCTGTGTTCTAAACTTGGGGGAGAAATGACCCCCCCCTTAAAGTACTTTCTAACAGATTGCTGTAGTGGACATTAATTTAGTTTAGTGTCCAGCTTCCATTTACCTTTTATAGAATCACCTCTTTTCTATACTCAGGTCATTTGGTGAAATAAAGATGGCCCCAGGCCCACCTCTAGGAGTGGGATATGTGACCCGGGCTTAAGTCGACTCGAAGGATTGGTTTGAAATTGGTATGTGATCTTGTAGAGCCAGTGAGACTATTGAGGGAGAAACATGTTCTGTTTTCTCACTTGAACCTGAAAGGATATGGACTGTAGTTGTAGCCAGTCAGGAAAGGAAAGCTCATTTGAGAGGGAACTGACACAGAAGATGAAACCTGATAGAAAACAGAAAATGTTTGAATACACTCAAAAGAGATTTAGATAATTGGACAGAGTTGGGGATAAACTAGGGAAGAAAAATGTTGTCGATTGAATAGTGCCTCCTTCCCACCCCTAACCACACCAAAGATATGTTGAAATCTTAACCTTTGGTATCCGAGAAGATGACCTTATCGGAAGTAGGGGCTTTGCAGGCATAATTAAGTAAAAATGAGGTCACACTGGCCAGGCACGGTGGCTCATGCCTGTCATCCCAGCGCTTTAGGAGGCTGAGACAGGAGAATAGCTTGAGCCCAGGAATTCGAGACCAGTCGAGGCAACACAGTGAGACCCTGCCTCGATTAGACACCCACCAAAAAAATTAGCCGGGTGGTGAGTACCTGTAGTCCTAGCTACTCGGGAGGCTTAGGGTGGAAGATCGCTTGAGCCCAGGAGGTGGAGATCGTAGTGAGCTATAATCCTGCCACTATGCTCCAGCCTGAGCAACAGAATGAGACTCCAACTAAAAAAACTCCCCAAACAACAAGTGAGGTCAAACAGAGCAGGCCCCTTCATCCAAGATGACTGGTGCCATTATAACAAGAGAAGAGACACAGAGACACACACAGAGATGAGAATACCATGTGAAGACAGACACAGGGGAAAAGTCTGTGTGACAGTCAAGGCAGAGATTGGAGTGATGCCGCTGCAAGCCAAGGAATGTCATGTGAACACGAGAAGCCAGCAGGCGCTAGGAAGTGCCCTCAGAGAGAGCATGGCCTTGTTGATACCTTCACTTTAGATTTTTAGTCTCTAGAGTGGTGGGACAATATATATGTCTGTTGTTTAAAGCCACCCAGGTTTGTGGAGCTTGGTCATGATAGTATTAGGAAATGAATCTAATAAGTATTTTGAAAATCTGTCATGTGGAAAAAGAACAAGATGCTCCCGGGAAAGTAAAAGCTTTTTTAGGAACAGAAAGGTGAACATGGGATACCCCATGGCTTTGTTGTCAAGGATTTAATAGTCATAGTAGTACAAAATATTGGTTTGTGCACTTACCAAAATTATACTATATTGGAAAATATGTGTGTATATATTGGGGTTGTGTGTGTGTGTGTGTGTGTGTGTGTGTGTGTGTGTGTGTGAAGTCTTCTTCCATAGTGCAAAGTCAATATAGGATGCTTAAACTAAAAAAATCACGAGGTAGCAACATGAACATGTTATTTAGAGATATACAGGTAAAGAGTAAATGGTTCAGTTAAAAGAGCTGAAACTGGCTGGGTGTGGTGTCTCAAGCCTGTAATTCCAGCACTCTGGGAGGCTTAAGTGGGAGGATTGCTTGAGTCCAGCAGTTCAAGATCAGCCTGGGTAACATAGCAAGACTTCGTCCCTGTAACTGAAAAAAACCAAAAAAGAGCTGAAAGTAGCTCTTTCTTCCTGGGAGCAGGAGATAGGAGGCAGGGACGACTTGGACCGTAGTAGAACTGTTTGACTCTTTACATTATGCACACAAATGACTTTAAAGAAACACTGCTTTAAAAAGAAGAAGAAAATTTGAACCTACAAAGCACATTACTTGTAGAAGTAAGGAATATGCTGACTCTGGATAAAAGTATAACATTGGACACATTTATTTTGTATCTGGTATACTGGCTGTTAAAGTGAGCTTTGGCCAGGTGCAGTGGTTCATACCTATAATCCCAGCACTTTGATGCCGAGGTGGTAGGATCACTTGAGGCCAGGAGTTCGAGATTAGCCTGAACAGCCTAGCAAGACACTGTCTCTACTAAAAATTTAAAAATTAGCAGGACATGGTGGCACCAGCCTGCAATCCCATCTACTCTGGAGGCGGAGGCAGGAGGATCACTTGAGCCTAGGAGTTGGAGGCTGCAGTGAGTTATGATTGCACCACTGCACTTCAACCTGGGTGACAGGGCAAGACCCTGTCTCAAAAAAAAAAAAAAGAACTTTACGTTTTTAAAGAGTAATTACAAACTTGGAGTAATAGAGGTTTTTGTTCTTTTATAAGTTTTTTTTTTTTTTGAGTTGGAGTCTCACTCTGTCTCCCAGACTGGAGTGCAGTGGCCGCTCCTGGCCACCGCAGCCTCCCCTACTGGGCTCCGGCGATCCTTCCGCCTCAGGCTTCCGAGTAGCCGGAATTGCAGGCGTGCGCTACCACACCCGGCTAATTTTTTGATCTTATTGTAGGGATGAGGTCTCGCCTGCCCAGGCGGTTCTCGAACCCGCGGGCTCAGGCAATCCATTCACCTCAGCCTCCCAAAGGCGCGGGATGACAGGCTGAGCCACCGGGCCCGGCTTTTATAAATTTTTATAAGCACAGGATTTAGCCAGGCACGGTGGCTGACACCTGTAATCCCAGCACTTTGGGAGGCAGAGGCAAGAGGATTGCCTGAGCTTAGGGGTTCAAGACTGGCCTGGGCAACTTGGCAAGACCTCGCCTCTACAGTAACTCAAAAACTTAGCCCGGTGTGGTGGCACACGCCTGTCATTCCAGCCACTTGGAAGGCTGAGGCGGAAGGATGGCCTGAGCCCAGCAGGTGGAGGCTGCAGTGGCTGCCCCAGGCCTAAAGCTCACTTCAACAGGGATCTTTCTTTAACAGGCAAGGAGGCTCTAAAGCTGAGAGGTGGGAGTCACAGACGCTTTCTCATGGCACTAGAAGTCGGAGTCAGGTGAGTGTATTTCCAACCGGTGACCAGGAGGAGCTCAGCATCCATGGACCAGGAGGAGCTCAGCGTCCAGGGCCCCTGAGGCCGACACTCCAGTCGGCCCCTCACCCCGAGGAGGAATGGTCCAGCCTGCACGGCCGCTTTCTGCCGCCAGGGGGCAGCGGGGCCGCGAGTGCCCGGGAACTCGGGGCGAGATGCTGAGCACCTGGCGCGTGGGAGGAGGCGTCTCTCAGGGTTTGCACTTAGAGCATCTCAGTAGCTAGATGGCTCATCGGTACGGAGGGTGTGTTTTCTTCTAGCTCTGACGCCCGTCCCCAAAGGCAGGAAGTTCGATCTCAAGGCGTTTGCCCCGTCGATCTCACGATGGGCTAAGAAGGGATGGAGCCCACGAAGAGCCCGGCGAGAACAGGCTGGCACGGGCCCGTCTCCATGTTCCTACCTGGAGCCTGGGTTTGGTGCACGTTCTGAAAGCACACGGTGTCAGCGGAAACGGTGCTCTGCTTCCTCCCTTATTATTCCAAAATAGATGTGCTCCTCACGCGCATGGGTGGACCATTTGCTCCTGATCTGCATCTCAGGGACACGTCTGACTTATTAGCACTGTTATTTGTAAACC